AATGTATTCTGAATCTGCCCACTTCTTTCTACTTCCTCTTCATCTTCCTCCTAAACCACTGCAGTAGTTTCCTTCAGAACCATCTGTATGTAGTTTTGCTTCTTCCTGAGCCACTCTTCCTGCGTCAGCCGTAGAGAGCTTCTGAAAGCACAAGTGTGACAATGTCACTGTACTGTCCAAAACTTTTCAGCCAGTGCCCAGGACCGCAGGAAATCTAGTAGACAAGACTCTACCAGGATTTATGGTATGAGTCCTGTATATACTACTCCTTTTCATGGCATTGCCCCTCTGCCAAGGACTACTGGCTTGGGCACAGGACAAGGCCTTATTCAAATATGATATCCTATCTCCTTCACAGTGATTGGTTCAAGAGTGGGCATGGGACCAGAGCTATAATCCTCTCTTGGACTTACTCATCCCAACTCCCCCAGATCATTTGCCTTGAATTTCCAAAGTAATTCTGGTTTCAAGCTCTTTCAATGCTGTCAGTAATCTGAATGTAACGTCTTCCATCTGTATTTGTCTAAAGTAGTTTAAGTAGGTCCCCGTGTTTGCCACCATTGTAAGGAGAGCTGGGAGTTTAGTCTTAACAAGACATCATTTATAGGCAAAGGATTTCTTTATAGCATTCCCAACGTTTTTCAAAGCCTTAACTGTGTGGTCATGCTTGGGATTGAACTCAGGCTTTCATGTATGGTAGGCAAGTATTCTACCATTGAACCATATCTTCAGCCGTGCTCACTTTGTATTATGAGGTGATAAGGTAGACATTTCTATGGTCTTGACTTTGTGGGGAAGAACACTCTGGATCAGAGATTTGACACAGTTTGCTTAAGGTGAAGAAGTTATGAATTAGGAGAGCTAGTCACCAAATGCCTCTTCGATCTGAGGCACCACCAAGCCCATCCCTGTTTGTGCACACACAGGTTCCGTAAAGTAGGGATGGCCACAGCAGCCTCAGGACAGGGAAAGATGGAAGACAGAGGAAAACAAAGGGTGAGTTCTACCCAACGTTTTATTTATAGCAAGAACAAGAGGAGAAAACTCCCAGCTTCTTTGCTTTCTTCTTTCCAATCCTGTTTCTTGTTCCTGTAATCCATGTCAAGCTTGTAGTCTACACTATAATTCAGCCATATTCTAGGCAATTATAGATTGAAGGGCTAGCTTGCAAAGTAAATTACTATATAACTCTTTTACCAGATGCAAAGTCAATCACTGATTACTATACAACCCTGTTATCACACAGGGCTGCCTTCATTCTAATTCCTTTTATTTTTTAATAAGTTAAAAACAAAATAGATAAATACTCCAGTGTTCTGAGAAAGTTATGCCATCTTGCTGTAAGAATCTCATAAGGTACCTGAGGTTAGCAGGTAATTGTTAGGTCTAGCTGTTCATTGAGGCCTACTGAGGGTGGGGTGTGTCATGCTGACTTTGTGGACATCCCACCCTCTTTACATCTTGCAGCACTGTGGCCAACTGGCCCAGAGAGAGATTTCTCTAGAGGCTGCTCAGTCTGCAGGACCTAACATTACCCAGTCTATGGTTCACAGTGTTGGTTTTACTTTCTTCCTAGCTTGTCTTACATTCACAACCTTCTTCCCAACTAGGAAATCATTGGGTGAGAATAAGCATCTCCCCTCGCTGGAAATATCTTCGTTGCTTCTGCCCTCCTTCACAGTGGTGGAGATAACTTCATACTTATAACAGAGGTGCCTATATCCCACCTCTGTTCATCTGCTAGTCAGGACCATTACTCCTCCCTCCTCCTCCAGATCATTCTCATGACTGTACAAACCTGTAGTTTTCCCCATAGTCTAAATCCACCACCCCAATAGGCTAACACAAATTAAAGTTAGAAATAGTAGGCTGCATGTATCTTTAGCCCTAGCACTAGGAGGGCAGAGACAGGAAGATCTCTGTTGAGTGTGAGGCCTGCTGATCTACATATCAAGTTTGAGGCCAGCCTGGGCTACAGAGACCTTTTCTCAAAACAGATAAATAAATAAATATAAATGGATATAGTTACAAGCAGTAGAAAGTAGTAAGTAAATGTGAACAATATAATTTTCTTCCTTTCATCTACATAGTAAATGGGTAGATAGTTCAGAATAGGTGACTCCATAGACTTTGGGAATTCATTTATTCTAATTTGTTTCATTAACATTCTCAATACATGACTTCCACTACAGACACACATGGCTACTGGAGCCAAGGATTTCATCAGCACATTCCTGGAAAGAATGCTGGCCGAGGAAAGCACATCCCTTCCCTTTAAAGCCGTTTAGAATTTGCGCAAGAATCCTTTCACTTCTTATTGGCTGGAACTGAGTCACATGATCATATATAGTAGAAACATTTGCCATTATTCTGAGAAGCCACGTCGATGGCCAGATAGAATCAGAAATTATGCAATGGAAGGCAAAGGGAGAGATGCCTAGCCATCTCCACCAAAGTCTCCGGTGTGTCACATCCTGAGTTAGATCACTCATGGTTCTCTGTTCCCTATTGGGTCATTTTTGTGCAATAGGTCTATGACCATCTGGTTGCCATTCCACTATACCAGGAACATTGCCCTTAGCATGTTTATCAATGGCGTCATGCTGCTAAATGCAATGGACACTTCTCTGACCTTACCTTGCCTGAGCCTGAAGCAGCATCTAACACAGCTAACTCCTTTCTGGAAACAAGTTTCTCAGTCTTGGGCGTAGGCCTATAGCCCATTGGTTCTCCCCTGGCCTCCCAGTCTGTCTTTCAATGTTCTTTTTGTTCTTGTATCCCCTCTCACTCTCTGGGTTCCCATTATCTTCTGTGTCTGCCTTCCCTCCCTTTAGATGTTCTTCTCAGCTCCTATGGTTTTTACCACCTGATGATTCCCCAAAATGCATCTTCACCACAGACCCTTCTGTGCTCATAGTGACTAGACAGCGACCCTGAGTCTAACAGGCATCTTCAAGTCAGTATGGCTAAAACAAGATTGTTGATGGTCTTCCTGAGAGCGGTCGCTTTCCTCCAGGCCACCCCACCCAATAAATGAGGCACTGTTTCTCACTCACTGGGAGAAACTTGAAAACTACCCCTTTCGTTTCTACATGTCTTCCTGCATCCATCGTATTGGTTAAATCCCAAACAGTAAATCTCTCAACTATTCATCTTAACACACCCACCACTTTAGTTCAAACTGTCTTCACACTTGGCTCAGATTAGGACAAAAGTTTAATTGGGTCCCTGCTTTTAATTTTTGCCTGGTAACTACTACATTTACTCTTCGCAAAGCAGCAAACCAGACTGTCAGTCTCTTCCATAAACCCTTCAATGGGCTTCTCAAAAAGGCTCCATCCTTTGACACAGTCCATAGGCCCTTTTTGTCCTGGTCTCCATTTCATCCTCAGACTTTATACCCAGGCTTCAAATGATAGCTATCCAATTTTCTTTCAGCTCCTTGACACCTCCAGAGTGTGCCCTTTTCAAGGCCTCGGCACCCACTGCTCTCAACTTGTACTTTCTGGGCTACCTGCCACTTTCCCCAAGGCTAACTTCATTCTTTTGCTTTCAATTTCAACATCACCTTCTCACCTTTCCCTGTCCATTCCCTCATTCTCTATCCCAGGCCCTTGTCTTTGTCTCAGCATTGATTTCAACTTCAAAAGACTTGTCTTATCTAAAAGTAACTGTATGGAGGGAGTGGTTTCAGCTGCAGCACCCCAGCCTAAACACAAGGCCTGGTGCTCACACATCAGACACCCCAGTCACACATTTTGGTCAGCTAGAGTTGACAGTGTGGACAAGTTTCCTTGCCAGGGAGGTCCTTGAGTTGTCTAGGGTATTTTAGAGACAGGCTAAATCCACCTTGCTAACAACTACAACAAGCAGTGGGGAGGAACACTCTCCGTTTCTAGAGTTTTCTCTTTATAATGAACTTAACCTGTTGGCTGCATGTATAAAAACATGGTTCCAGTCTCATGCCACTTTCGTGTTGCCCAGGAGGAGCAGACGTGTCCCTCAGCTCTCCCAAACCCACTTGAGTTTACTAAGAAGGAACAAGGCTGTGCTTTGCTCTATAGACAAGCAGGCAGAGGCTGGGACGAGGTCGCCCTTTTCATCTCAGCGGTGTGGATACCATTATATATCTACCTGCCTGTCCTTTTGTGGCCTTCCACTTCCAAGAATTAGCCCAGTCATCTCCTCAGCATAAAGGAGATGAACAAATCACAGCAGGCTATCCAAAAGAAGCTTGGTATTTTTAGCATCGAGACTGGAAGGGGAGAGTGTTTAGGGCTCGGCTGTAAAGAAATCTCTTCCACCTCTTTCTAGAGGACTACCCCACCAAGGCTGGGCAGGAACGCCTTCCATCTTAAAACCAGCCATTTTCCCAATCTTCTTCTACCTCCCAGTCACCCCGGGCATTTCTTAAGACAAGGCATCTTGCAACTCGAATTTCTCCCCGGCTCAGCTCCCGCCCGGTCAGATGCTAAGGCCGGAGGGGCATTTGCACAGGGTAACTCAGCCAAGATCTCGACTGGCCGCCACAAGTGACTGGCCGAAGTCCAGGCTCCACCAGCATCGCGGAGCCACAGAGGAGGCGGACCCCGGTAAATCCCGCTTGGGGCACCGCCCAGAGCCGGACAAAGGGGCGGGCCAGCGAGCCGCTTCACTACCCAAGGCAGGCAGCTTTCAGGGCGGGGTGAGCCGTGGGGGCGGGGTGAGCCGTGGGGGCGGGGCTCGACGACCCGCGGGGCGGGGCACAGGCGGGGCGTAGAGGGGGCGAGGAGACCAATGTGGGAGGGGTAGCGGGCGGTGGGGTGTGGATTGATGGCAGAGGGGGCGGGGCGAGCGGCGGGAGCCAGGCCTGGGCGGGGGGAGGAGCGAGTGATGGGGCGGTGCCTGCGTGGGGGAGGAGCCAGCGCCGGGGGCGGGGCCTGGGTGGGCCCGACGCGCGGGGCGGCAGAGCGGCGCGGGGAAGCTGCGCCTCTTTCTCCGCCGCGGCCCCGCCCCTCCGCGCCCCGCCCCCGCCGCTCGGACGGCCCGAGTCGCGCCCTCCCGCTCTGCGCTGCCGAACTTGGTCTAACTTCCTCGGCCGACCGGGCCGTGCCGCCGCTGCCGCCGCCGCCGCCGCTGCCGCCGCGCCCGGGTAAGTAGGACGCGCGGCCCCGCTGCAGCGTCGGGCCTGTCCTCATTGTCTCGGGCCGGCCCTCGTGAGCGTCCTCTCGGGACGGCGGCTGCTCCCCGCGTTCCCGCTCGGCCCCGGGACTCCCTTGCCCGGCGGGGGGCGGCCCCGCGGGCGGCGCGGGCTTTGTCTTGCTGAGACCGCCCGCGAGCTCCGGAGGCCGCGGGCCGGGACCCCGCTGAGCCGAACTCGGGCGCTGCGTGGAGTGGGAGGCACGGGCGGGCGCCCCGGAAGGTGTGGCTGCACCCTGCTGCCGCCTGGGCTCTGCGGGTCCTCACCTGCGAGCCCAGTGGAGGGCGCCTTCTTCAGCTCCGGTCCCCGGTGAGGGGACGGTCGCCCAGCCCCCACCCAGCCTGAGTGTGCTCCCAGCCGCCGGGTCCCGTGCTGTCCTGCCGGAGTTTGAGGAGGTGGCCACCCCGGCGTCTCGGTGCTGGTCGCTAGGGGCTGTGTTTGGAAGCAGAGCCCGACCCCTGACCTAGCCCGAGCTTTGGCCAAGTTTTGGTTCTGGCTGTACCTTGGCTCGGCCCAGGTTGCAGCCCCCATTCCCTTCCCTGTTAGGCGTGCAGTGCAGAGGGTGGGGAGAGTGTGCGAATGGGGACTCCGGCCCCTGAACCACAGAAACTGCTGTCTGGAGGACTGAAACTCGTTCGCCGGTGAGAGGCGGTCAGTAGTCTCAAAACTCAGTGTCTTCAACCAGTGCTTGCCTGGAGCTGGTTGCAGAGCCGTGGTGAACACTTATTGGCTGTATCAGGACGCTGATGTTTGGGGACATGGAGATGTGTTGGGCAGCGTGTACAGGACGCTGGCTTGGGGCCTGTAGCAGGTGTGTTCCCTGCTCGCTAGGAGGTTACCCGCAGGACTGGTGGTTGTGGGTCAGTTTTCTGCCAAATACTGGGCAGTTTCCACACACACAGCCCCTTGACTTCTGAGTAGAAGTTGGTGCCTGTTGAGTGCTTCCTTATTCATGAAAGGAAATCTGGGGCCCCACATTCTAACAGCTCAGAGGTTGCCGGAGACACCCTCCCTTTCAAAACTCCTGGGCCCTGGAACCCTTAGAATGAAGCCCAGACTTCTGCTCTCCGGCCCCTCCCTCAGCTGTCCCCAAGCCTTGTGTCCTATTTTGAGATTTTGTTTTTCTTTTTGGACTAAGGGTTTTGTGTAACCCAGGGTTGCCTTAAATTCATGATCCTTCTGACCCGTTTTCTACCTTTCTATATTCTGCCTCCTTTCTACATTTGTGGACTCTCTCTGGTCCACCTAATGTGTTTCAGAGACTGAAGTGCTCTGTGCTATAGCGGACACTCGGGGCTCACGCCTCCTGACCAGCTGTAAGCCTTTAGTGGTGGGCCTGCAGTAGGTGCTCAATGGTGTTGATTGGCATGAGCTTGATCTAGGCTTAGTTGCTCTTTCAAACAGTCTGAGCCACTGATCCTCCAAAGGTTTGTGGCTGTTTCAAGAAGAAATGGCATGGAGGGGAAGGGTTGGCTGCCCTGGGAAGACCCTCCCCCTCGCCCCTCTTCTTATTAGGGCAGCTGTGCTTGCTGGTTTCTGAGGATAGGTGAGGGCTTCTCCCTTGCCATGTTTGTGATGGAGGATGAGACTCATGCTTTGTGTGGGTGGAGGAGCCTGCCCTGCAGGTTATAGAAATGAGGCGAAATTACAAAGAGGCCAGGGTACAGGGAAGCCCTGGGTTCTTTTACCACTTCCGGGACCTTACCCTGGGCCACCATGTGCCTAGGGATTTGACCTTGTTTAACTTTATCAGAGAAGTTAAACAGAAATAATTTTTAACAACACCTAAAACTGCCAGTATGCCAGTCTTGAGAGCCCCTTGCTTGTTTAAAACCTAGTGAACTTTGATCAAGCATACAGCTATTACATGGCATAGTGGAGAGTTTGTTAAGGCTTAGTATTTATGGAGACTTCTATCAGGCCATGATCCCAGCTTTACTTTAATTGTTTAATCCCTGAAACAACCCAATGTGGTAGACATTAACTACCGGATTTTACAAATGAGAAAACTATGGCCCAGAAAGGTCGGAGTGATTTCCTTGAGGTCTCTCTCTGTCTGAGAGTTGGAGCCTCTCATTTAGATGATGCCTTCCTCCTGGAGGTGCTTAAACATAGTGAGAAAGCCTGGCCCAAGGCAGAACTACTGAGTCCTGCAGTACAGGCTCCCTCCAGGCCCAGCTTCCAAGTAGCTCACCTATCTACCATGACCTCAGCGCATGCCACCCCTGAATCCCTGCTGGCTTGACTGCGGTCTCCGCCCTATGAGGCCGGAGGATTGCAAGCGTGGCTGGAGAGTCAGTGCCTTCTGTAGAGATCAGGGTTTGATGTGGTTAATGCCAAACTTCAAACTTCAGTGGCTTAAAGCAACAGGCCTTTTTTTTTTTTTTTTTACTCCACATTTATATCACATATCTGCTTTACGTTGCCGTTATTGTAGACCAATTCATGTCCCTAGCCACTTAGACATAGCCTGATGAGTCTTGGCTCTTATAGCTTCTGCCCATTTCTGGCAGATGTGGCATAATGAAGTGGCATTTCATTGGCTGCACCAAGTAACATGACCAGAGTCACCCTCAGGGTGAGGGTGGGGATGGGAATCAGAAACATTTAATGAATAGCATGAAGCCTATCACTTGCCTGTCACTTGTTTCTTCTCTAGCTCTGGGTCCTGGTTTCATTCTTTGTCTCTATGCCACCAAGAACACTGTTGTGAATTAGTCAAAGAAGTGCTTTTTAAAGATGGAGTTGCCCCAAGTGAAAGGTAGAAGCTAGATAAACACGAATGACCCTTAGGGGTGGAGGGGTGGAGGGGTGGAGGGGTGGTCTTTAATGACAGAGCACTCCTGTCATTAACTTGGGCAAGTTACTTGAACTCCTCCTGAGTCCTTTTGCTTATTGGCTAATTCATTTATTCAAAAGCAGGAAGTCCCAGACTAGAGACTGAATGGAGGTGGCAATCCCTGTTTCCTGCTGCTGGGTGTTAGTGCCTTTAGAGAGAGAACCCTGCCTGTGGGCAGGGAAGCAGGCCTGGCCGCCCTTCTCTTGTAGCCAGTGGGCAGCTGGGTGTTGTACTCCCCATCCTTGCCCGGATGTGAAGTAACTTTTCCTAGAAGCAGAGCAGGCAGAGGTGCCCTTAGTTGCTATGTGTGACTGAGGCCAGGCTTTCAGGACAGTGAGTGTGGAACAGAGCAGCAGTTTGGTGGGGTGACTGGGGGGAAACGTCGACAGAAGAACAGGGTAGAAACCTGTTACATGCACTTCTCCAGCCACACTGAGTTTTCCCTTTGTGTTCTGTCACCTGTCTGCACATCCTGCCGGTGGACATGAGGAGACCTTAGGTATTCTTTGTGGAGGTTAGTTCACCGTTCATTCTTAGGCACTGGCACTGCTTTTTCAGGGCCTCTGTTTTCCCACCTTGGAGTGGCAGGAGGCCTAAAGGCCTGTGGCAGCTCTTCTTTTTGGCTGGTCACCAGTACCCAGGATAGGCCGTGCGTGGTTGTTTTCAGTCTTCGGCCTGTTGAGTGGGCAGTACTCTGATGTGCCTTCTCCTACAGTGTAGCAGGGCTGCCTCTGACTGTGAGCCACCTTGGGTTTCATGGTCTCCTGGCCGCTTTCTTCCATCCTTGTGTGTTTTGACTCATACAGAGCAAGTACTTGCATTGGGTTCAGAACTGGACCTGGCCTGTGGGCAACTGTTGATGCATCTGCCCACTCAGCATGAAGATGCCTAGCACAGTCCAGCGTGCAGATGAGCAGTAAGGAGGCCAGCTTTTGACTGATGTCTAATTGCTAGCTGTGGAACCTAGACTGAAGTTGGGTATTTTCTCATCCGCGAAGGGAGCAGAATCAGGTCTGCCCTGTCTGTCTTGGTTGCTGAGAATCCAGTACACACCTCAGGTTTGAGGAACATGGTCTCAAGCTCCTGGGTTGGGCCTGACACTGTTTAGGGACAGCTACTATCTTTCTAGCAGTTCCCAGCAAGTGCTTACCAACAGCTGATTCTGGGAACTCTGCTTCCTCCACCCTTGGGGGTTGGGCGGGGCTGGGCATGGCTGTGGGTTTTCTCTTTGGAAGTAGTAGGCATGGTAATCACAGTGTAAGTGGGCTTGGACAGGCTGGAGTTGGCATCCCCACCTCTTAGGATCTATTCTGCCTTTATAAGCAGCCAGAGCGCACATCTATCAGGTAGATAGCTGCCCCTCCTTAGGCTCTCTGGTCTGTATACTATGTGGCTAAGCACCGGAACAGATGTCTGAAGTGGCTGCTGGCATCCTGGTAGGAGGTAAACTCATGGTGTCCTCAACACTCTTGAGTCCTCAGTCATCTTGCAGAGCTGAAGTGGTGGGGAAGATTTGGGGCAGTCTGGTCACAGGCTGGTAAACCTTCTCTCGGTTTTCTCTGACTGTGTGCCCCTGTTATTGGGTCTGTGATCTTGTATGCTACAGAGCCCAAAAAGCATTCAGAAACAGGGGCTTTGAGGATGTCATAGCTTTGACATCCAAGACAGGGTCCTCATAGCACCTGGAAGGGAATGAGTGTCCCTTGAAATAAACCTCTTTTGTCTGTTTCTGAGGTTGGTGTGGGAGGGGTCCCCAGCAGGGTCTCTTTTAAAGTATCAGAGGATAAGGAAAACAGCTCCCTCAGCTTTCACACCCCAAACCTGCTGTACTGTTCAGGCTGTGGTGGGACTCTCAGCATCAGAACCGTACAGTCCCGATGTGGGGGATGTCCAGCTGTGCTCCAGGCTGCTTCTTTGCTTCTCAGACTGGCGGTAAATGCCCCTGCCTCTCTCGCTGGCTTCTCTATTTCTGGACCAGCCTGTACTCCTGGGCCACGTGGACCCAGTCTTCTGAGGCTTGCAGGAGGTGACAACTCTAGACCAAAGTGTGGGTGATACTCTGGGTGAGGGTAAGGAGCCATGAGTCTTGGAAGAAAGGGGAATTCTGTGCTTA